TGATGTTCCTTCTTCATGATGTCCTTTCTTCAAGGTAGGCACGTGTTACGGAAGACAATACAGCGTAGACTGAGCCTAGTTCCACGCCGTCCTATGGCCTAGTGCGCTGTAAAGACATATATTAATCTTGATACCGATGTGTATGGTATCAAGTCATTCACTACTTGTTGGTAGCAAAAAATGGTCATAAACCAACTACCGACTGTAGCTGACAGGGGCAGAAATTGAAATTATGGTATCGGTAAAATAGGCGCCCAGTCTAGCAAGCTGCATGCTCATTTCCTCCTGTATTAGAATGCCCGGAAACTCAAACTAGAGTTATCTAAAAAAACCTTTCTATGGAAAATATTAGTGTATATCAAGAATTTAGTTTAGTTAAAAAGGAAGGTTAAAAATCGATTTAATATTGTTTAATCATTTAGTAAATAATAATTAGAGCATCAACGAAGTATTTTTAATTAAAAACTGTGTAAAACTTGTGAAAAGAAATAGTAAATTATGTCGGTATGGCAGCGAATGTTGGTATTTACCAGAATTTTGAGTAGGGTAAGTTAGATAAAAATTTGGTAAATTAGGTGTTACCATTGTAATAATTTTACAAGATGTTTAATAAATAACTAAATAATTTTGGAAACGTTAAATCAAAAATAATAAATAATTGCAATAAATAAATAAAAAAATATTAACTTAAGTGCAGTGCAAAAAATTCCTAGAAAATTTCAATTTACTTTACCTTAATTTACTCCAGTGACGACTGCTCTAAGGTGCGGAGGTGTGCGGTGAACACCCTAACATAATTTGCAAAATGTCATATAACATAGGTATATAAATTTATTAAGTATCTTCACATCAACAATTATTATTATTTATTACATTTCCATATATATATTTTTAAAGTTTTAGCAAAAACAATTAAATATACATAATTGTCTATGAAAACTCAATCAATTTGCTTCTGTTAGCTGCTATACTTGTTAGTTGTGCTCATATATTTGCAGCTCAAATCACAGAACATTTCTATTATATTTCGTCTCTTCCCTTTGTGTGCAAAGAAGTTGTCCGCACATACATACGTTGCATATGAACAAAATAATGTACGTGTGCTCCCGTTCGTAATATCAGAAATAGAGATTTATATAGTGGGAATTGTATGTGAGTAATTTTCTGTTCTATTCGAATATCAACTGCATGCATACGAATCCAACATGATGATTTGCCAAAGTGGTTACATGAGCGGCTGAAGTTTGCAGCTCATCTCACCATACATTTCTATCACATTTCGTCTCTCCCCTTTTAACAGTAGCACCCACGAATTTCTGTCGCTTACTGTGCGGGGTACTTGTCCGCACATTTATACGTTGCAGGTGGGTTTGATTTTGTTTGATCACTGCATAAACATGTATGGTTCTAAATACAAACTCTTTTGTTTGAAAAAAGTTGGTTTGATGTTAAAAGACATAAGTGAAAAGTTGTATTTATTCCATATTGATATAATATTAAACTTATATATAAATTATTAATTTAATTTGTTTAATATGTTATTTTGTTAATGAATTATTAAATATTGTATTGGGAATATATTGTTGCCTAATATAATATAGTTATTATTAATAAAACATCTTATATATTTCAATTTATCTTTTTTAATTTAAGTGGTACATGTAAAAATAACATTGTAGAAGGGCCGCACACCCTTCCAGATAGGGCACGCGTCGTCACTGATTTACTCGAACTTGCACACGGCCTACAAATGAAATACGTAAATATAAATGGGCACACTCTTAGAAAACAACAATATTTCCGAACAGACATTTCACTAGAAACATAAGGTTTAAGGCACCCTAGCATGCCGGCCATGACTTCGAGAAGAATAGTATAACGCGATTTAATCGATGAATGTCATTGTTGTCTATTTCCATAAAGAGTTCGATTTAAATTGATAACAAAGACGTTATGTCACATTCACAAGGACAGAACCGTATAGATACATATATAGCTTTTAGTTTCTTGAAATTTAAGTTCTGTTTTGCTATTTTTTATGTGAATGTAAAAAATCATCTGGTAGTTGGATGCGCATTAGAAGGATGCGAATGATATATGCCACAAATCTTCGTTAATTTTCAAAGCCATGAATGTGAAGTCTTTTCATTAAAATTTATGTTATTAAATATATTTGTTATAAATAAGAATTTTTGTATTTAGAAATGCCAATGTTACGCGTTATATACCATAACTAAAATAAACAAAATTTACGGTAAACACAAACAAAACAAATAAACTACAGAGCTTGTTTGCTTACAATAAATGATGGATTTATGTAAATAGAAGTCAACCTTACATGCATACCGAAAGTGCTACTTACCAGCCTATACCTATATACGGAATGTGTGTATCAATCTTTTCATAAACACCAAAGACACCATAGGCACCATAGACACCCCAGACACCATGGATACGATGAATGCGATGGATGCCATAGACACTAAAGACACTGCAGACATAAAAGCCGGCAAATATTTAAGCACAAATATTGAGCTGCCGTCTTAGTATTAGACAACGTCTTACAAGCGAACTTATGCGTTATTGTAAATTTATGAGATTATAAAAGTTGTGTAAGACAAACTAACAATTTGTGTGTGATCCTTAAGCAGAAAATCCCTTAAAACCTTTAATAACTCTTCTTATATTTGTATTCATGCTACTGTTTGGATTTGTGTTTGTATTTGTGTTTGTGTATGCATGTGTGTGTTTGCTGAGTGTAGGGAAATTGGCAAATAGAAATATGATATGGTCTGAGTTATTGATGAAGTTCGTACGTGTCTGGGTCTGGCCATAAACATATGTGGAGATAAATTACTTGTACATGCAAATAATGGGTCAGCAAATTAAACGTTCAATTAAGCCGACTAGTACCAAGAGGAGGTTCCCTGTGGGTGTAACAGATCCTAAACCGTTTAATTATTTAGACAAAAATTGAGGAGGTCTAAAATAGTTTAGAAATTAAATGCTATCAATTGGTTTAACATATTTGTGTCTTAATCAAATTTGTGGAGCCGAAGGTTGACTTTAAAGCGCTCAATTAATTTATTAGATTTTAGGAAAATCATATGGGATAAGAAACTGGAACAATTAATTTTTAGTTTTGAAAATGTATTGAAACAAAAATTAAAGTGATTTTGGGGAATACAATATTTAAATTAAATTAATTAAAAGTTACTTTAAATATATGGATTATTTTCTCCTCAAATAATTCATAAAAGAGATTAGTTACTACTTGAAAAAACTCTGAGAGTGATTGTAAATTTATTTAGTATTTTTAATGCAATAGTAAAATTCGTCGAATCACATTATGCTGCATGATCATACACATTCGGTTTAAAGGTTACACATTCGAAATTAAAGGTAATCTCTGCAATTAGGAATTTTTAGGACCTTAAAGAAGAAGACATAAAAAAACTAGTTCGGTGTGGAAAAATATCAATCAAACTTGATGGTAATCTTTAAAACTTATGAATTCTTTGAAGATTTTAATGAAGAAGATATAGAGAAAGTGCATCGATTTGAAAATATATCAATTGAACTTTGAGGTTATCTTTGTAACTAATGAATGATTAGAAGACCTTGAAGAAGACCTTGAAAAAATTAAAAAGTTTTTTCTGCAATTAATGAATATTTTCAGGACTGTAAAAAGAAAATAATGAATGAATGGAACTTGGATGTTCTCTTCGCAAATAATGAATAATTTAAAGATTTTAAAGAAAATGGCGAAGAGAAACCGCATCATTGTGAAATAAAGTCAATCAGTTAGTACCCTGATGATGACAATAGATTATAGTGGAAATATCGGTTATAATAAAATCGTTTAAAAACAAATAAATATTTTTTAAATAATCTATTTTTTAACTATTGACCAATTAGCCCCGAAAATTTCATTTTAATTGTGTTAATAAGTAAGTCATCTGTTTATTAAAGCTTTCACTGTATTTCAAAATAATTTAAAATTGTATATTGTTTTACTTAATTATAGTTTTCATTGCCATTTTGCTATCTCTTAAATGTACAATGTTGCTTATAGTCAATTTTTACGATATATGGAAGGTACATGCTTTTAAATGGCCTGACTTTCTGTTCCCATTGGTGTTCGCTTATTAAAGGTTTCACTGTATTTCAAAATTACTTGAAGTTGTATAATTTTAATTATTCCTCTCACTGGCATTTTGTTATATGCAAACATAATTAAACATTTGTTAACTTCTCACAATTATTATTACTTTAATTAAAACTAAATTAAGCGTGGTTTATGCAAACGTTTGTTCATTGTTGGAATATGCCGGAAAATGCTGGAGAATGTTAGAGAACATTACCTACCAACTACCCGACTACTCGAATTGTTGAGAGTTGAGTTCAGTTGAATTCAGTTTGGTAAATATTTAATATCGAATTACATACACTTGAGTTCGCAATTCAATTTCGTATGCATAAATCAAAATACTAGTACTACGCGTATTTGTACTCATTAGTAATGCGTAAAGCATTAAAGACATTAACATAAATATGTTAAAATTAATGCAGAAAGGATAGACGAGCGGTAGGTAAGTGTTTGTCTATCGTAATGTTCCTTTAACAGACTCTGCTCCATGCAATAACTTCAAATCATGTTCTAACGAGCGGAGTTAGTGTTGCCCGATTAGAATTGGTAATGAAGTTAAATGACTGGATTCGGTTTATTTAGCTATGGCTTCCTTCCGGCATTGCTTATTTCGGCATATAATATAGTTTATTTATGTTTATTAATAATGAAATGAGAGGTGAAACTGTATTCCAAAATAATTATTTAAATTAATATAATCTTTCTATTTACGGTAGTTTATATTTATTATACCAATAATCATAAAATGTTAAGAGAAAATATATAATTATTTTTATTAATATATTATTTACGAGTATTTGCAATTAAGTAAGTAAGTAAGTAATGCTTACTTAGTGTTTGTTGTACTTACCCAAATAGGTGCTATTTGTCAAAACCCAAAAGATTTTTAATGGATCCACCATAACTACGCTGACAGCAGTGTGGTGGAAACAGATTTGCTTCAATTGTTGCTTATAACTTAACAAATAAGCAATAGCAGTACAAGTAGTAGTAGTAGTAGTAGTAGCAGCAGCAGCTGCACTGGCAACAGTAACAGCGACGCTGATGGCGACGGTGACAGTAAAAGCAACAGCAGCGACTACAACAGTAGCACAAATATTATAAGGGAATGCAGTTAAAATTTCTGCTAGTCAATAGCAAGTAAAATACGTGCTATTATTGTACGTTTCTGGCTTACAATTATTTTTAGTATTGCTGTTGTTATTGTTATTGTTATTGTTGTGGCTGTGGCTGTTAAAAGCACAACAACAAAAATTGTTTAAGTTTAAATTCCTTTTAATGTATAAGTATTTTGCACTATAAAAAGTATGTTGTATTTGTTGTTGTTGATTATGTAGTACTTGTAGTTTATTTTGAGTTGGTTTATAGAATAATAAACGATGTTGCTGTTGTTGTTGTTGTTGTTGCTTTTGTGGATGCTTGTAATTTCTAAATATAACAGTTTCTTCTAAACTGTGACGACACGTACTTTGTAAATAAATTACGGAAAACAACAACAATTGCAATAAATGTAAAAAAGCACTTAATTTGTAAATGCTTTTAATGAATAATGAGTTTTTTATTTTTCTTATTGTTCTTATGCTTTTTGTTTTTGTATTTGTGTTTGGAGTTAAATTTAAAGTTAAATTTGTAATCCACTGATTGTTTATACAATTTATATTGTGTTGTAGCAATTTTTGTTTTTGTTGTTGTTGTTGTTCAAATTGTCGTTGACGTTGGCATTTACATTCATTTTCAAATTTATTATTAATTATTCGTTGTTGTTGTAGTTGTTTTTGTTTTTGTTTTTGTTCGTGCCGTTGTATTGGTAAGTTCAAATCCTTTGGCTTAGTAAGATTAAATTCTATAAGTTTTTGTTGTTGTTGTTGTTGTTTAAATGTACAAGTTAAGCACAAATCGATGCAATACAAGATTTTCATAGTAAAATGTTTATTTTTCTAACACTTGAACACTTTTAATACACACATAACACAACAACACACACACAAACACAACAACAAATCAATAGATTTGTTTGTGTAGGACACAATCAAAAGCAGCTTTAAGCTTACTTTGTTTTTGTTGTTACAAAATCATTTCATTTAATTGTTTTTGTTTTTTTCCTTTTTTTCTTTTTTTCTTTTCAATGTAATTACCACTTAAAGTTGGTGTTATTTATGACACATAGCAGTATGGCATGTTAAGCAGTAGCGTAGTAAGCAGCATTGCAGTAGCGTTTCTGTGGTGAACGCTAGCATTTGTTCTATTTTATTTGCTTTGTTTTGGTTTTTAATTGATAAGATGGGCTTGTGTTTTTTGTTGTTTTTATTATATGTTACATTTTGTATATTTAGACGACCTTATATTCACTGTAGTGCTCGCTGTTACTCGTTGTTGTTTGTTACATGTAGTTGCTTTGTTTTTGTTTTGAATACCTGTTCATTAATTTAATTGTATTTGTATACAACACGTGTACATGTATTTATTTAACCACATTTGTCGATATTGTTTGGCATATGAAGTTGTTAGAAAAAACATTGTTAATTCATTTCTCTAGGAAAAAGTTATTTGCATTTATCACAATTTTTGTTTTTGTTTTTGTTTTTCTTTAGACTGTTTGCTGTTTATGTTGACGTTCTGCTGTTATTTACAGACTGCAATATTTTCTTATTGTTTATTTTTTAATGGAAATATTTAATATATCTAAAAATAATTTTCATAATTTTAAATTTTATTACATAAATTGTTATTGCCATAAATAAAATGACACAAAACATTTTATATGGTTTCAATTAATTCAAGAAGTTTCAATTAAAATAATGACATATGTACAGAGTAAACAAAAATTGTGCCAAAAATGAAAATAGATTTGATTTTTGTTTTTATGTTCAATTTTACAAAGTACACTTAAGTGCCGATTTTACACTAAGTGTCACATAATTGAGTTTTAAGTGACACCATAGTGTCCCTTATTGAACACTTAAAGAGTACTCAACTTAAATGCGAATTATAAAACTTATCTTCAAAATGGAATTCTGCAAATAACACGATTCTGACTATACATATAATTTACAATAGTATTATATATATAAATAATTATAAATAAAAATAAAAATTGCTGATAATTGATATATACACCTGATTCAGAATTTTTAGCTTAATATAGAAGAATAATGTGGAAATATTTAAAATACTTTTAATATTAGTTCTCACTATACACTGAATTGAAGGATGGCATACAACCAAGCTGGGGCTTCCCGAACAAAACTTTTGCAGATCGTGATTCAGTGCTGTCGAAGTGAGATACACTGGCACGTTTACATCAAAAGTTATGTTGATTTTGATTATTGCTCTGGTTTATCCAGATCCTAGCCTAAGCATATGACCATCTCCTCACTCCACAATATCGTCAATGAAGAATTCAACCAAATATATGTGTTCGTCAATGCCTCTGGTAAGTTATAAGACCTAACCTTATCAACAAAAGTTATGTAGATTTTGATTATTGCTTTGTTTTATCCAGATTCCAGGTTAAGCATATGACCACCCCATCCATCTCCTTACTTCACAATATAGCCAACGTAGAAGTCAACCAAATATCTGTGTTCGTCAAATTGTCTGGTAAGTTATTAGACCTAACTTCTTACCAAAAATTACGTAGATTGTGGTATTGTAAAGGCTCTTTATCTAAATGAGTGGCACTCTTTAGCTAATTGAGTAACACTCAACCTTTCTTCACTTCACCTTCCTATTCATCTAAGTAAAATTTAATAGGTTTTCTCGACAGCAGTTGTAGTTTCCCGGTACAGTTTCGAATTAAAATAATTGCTAAAATTTGTATATTTTTGCATTGAGGTCTGCTGAGCTATAATGTCAACTAAGAATTTATTTAAAGTAATTGTTTTGTCACTGTTCACTCCGACATCCCACCACACAAATGTACACCCAAAACACTTGAATAAACTCGAGACATAATGCGAGGCACTTCACCACGTTTTTCTTTGAAATGTTTCAATTTATTCAGATTCATTCAATTTTATCCAATTTTTGGTATTTTGCGAACTAAATAAATATTTAAAAATATCAAAAACGACAAGTGGAACTCAATACTCAATACTTTATACTGCGAAGCAATTCCTTCAGTTTGTAAGGATATAAATTTCAAATTGACGTTAATTTACTTGACCTGATTTTGGCAACATCTATATTTTATACAACTTGTACTTTGTGTATTTCATAAATTTTCTTTTCTATATATTTTTTGGCATTACACTTGGTTAAGCTTGTTTGGGCCATTAGCATATATTGTTGCCAAATAATTGAGGTTGCCTGTGCGAGATCTCGAAGTCGAGCTGTATGTAAGTTATTTTACGAGCGGAAGTAAATGCAAATTTATGAAATGTATTGAAATATTCTCCAAATATATATATAAGCAAAACCAAAACAACAAAGAAAACAAAAAATTAATACAACAAACAATACAATAACGTAACTATCAAGACATTTACAAAAATAAGCAGAAACATTACAATAAATTGAATTATTTTGTTTGTCGAGTCGATTTGCTTATTGATTCAACTTATTTTCAAGTTGAAATGTGTTCGATGATGCTTGAAAATTATAAATATGACAATTGCTTGGAATAAGAAAATCAGTGACTTGCAGAATAAATCACTTGCAGAGGAACTCTGTAATTGTGATTGTAGTATATTTGTTTCAGTTCTCTGAAACCACTTTGTTATTCTTCTTCAATACAGACACATTTTGGTTTTTAATTAGAAAAAGGCAAAAAAAAAAAAAAATTAAATGATTTAGTAATATATATGGATGCATATATATACACTTTTGGTGAAGTCTAAGTACTTACTTGTTTACACTCAAATAAATATGCTTTGAACACATACTAGTTAAATTGACCTGATCATTGATATCTTCTTTACTACAGCTCATGTAGTAAAGAAGATATGTAAGCCAACATATGGTATGGTTGAACCAACATAATGCGTCAAGTAACAACATTTTGAACTGAGATTTAATTAAAATCTGATTAAATCAACCAAATTATTTTTTTGAGTGTAGGTACTCATTTATATAATTGGCTGTGCTTTTGTGGTTGATTCCTCATACGACGCTTTGTAACAGATTATCAAATACTAAGAATCGAATTGACGCGAAGTTTAATAAATCAACCAAATTGATGGCTTAAATCAGTATTGCAAGTGATCACAGTGTTAATGACTCATAATAAGTTGTGACTGTGAATTCGACTCCCAAAATAAGACTCTCAAACTAAAAGAGGGTTTCCGCCTCTGGAAGATAATATCCTTCCAGTGGTTTTAAAAGCTTTTGTAGCTAAAGATATACTATTTCCACGCCATACATATATATCTGGATTTTGTTTGCCTTACAACGAGACAAACTTAAATATTCCATTGCCTTAATATGGAATAGTTTCAAGTCAACATTTCCACATCTTTGCTTTCTAATAATCTGAAAATATTACTTTTAGCTTAATCTTTAATATATTTTTGAAAAAACACGAACTAAGAACCTCATTATAATCAAAATAGTTGAATAAAAGTGTGCTAGGTTGTAAGATGACATTTAAAAATGTCACAACTGTCTTGGTATAAATTGTAATTTAATGTCTGTTATGACGGAAGTGGCTATTTAACTTAATAGAAACTAGTATATTTGCTATAGAGGTTTTTTGTAGTAGTGAACTATAAATAGTGAACTATTTTTTATATTCTTTTAATTAATTGAATTTTTGACTGACCATACAGCTCTTTATAAGTATTGAATTCTAAAATTGTTGGAATAAGCACAAAGAGAAAAGAATTTGTAATCCGTGAACTGATTTGAGACTATAGCATAAATACATCAATAACTGCAACAACTTAAACTAGATTAGCAGTTAATGAAACCTGTGCGAATAGTATATAAACTCTAGGTCTAAATGATAACTTGATCCATATGTACACTGAATGCTTTTGCTCTGTTTTGATTTCCGTAAGCTTATAAGTAGATCACTCTCTCTCTCTCTCTCTCTCGGATATCATTGAGCAATTAGTTAATGTCGTCTGTCACTTCTTTGATTTTTTAAAGCTGCAGTGATTGTCAAACATACCTATTTAACATAAATGAACTGCAAATATATTTCTTGTATTTTTTCATTATTCTATTGAGATCATCTTAACTTTTCTATTTAAACTCTCGATAAAGTTAATAAGAAAAT